GGGTGGGGGTTGGAGGCAGTTGGTTTATCTATTTGGGTTTTTTTGTTTTTTTGTTTTTTTGTTTTGGTTTTGGTTTAGGTTTTGGTTATTTGTGGAAGAGGGGGGGGGCGGGTCGCTGACTGAGCACAGTTGAATGCAATAGTCCAGTACACTGTGGTGTGTTCAAAAAAAAAAAAAAGAAAGAAAATGTTACTTTTAATTTGATGTCCTTCGATAATTTTTTTCACTTCCTCATTGACATCATTTAGATTTTTTGGGAGGCGGGCTGCTTCGATCCTGGGGTCAGGGCCAGTCTGGGCTGAATGGGATACATTATTCCAACAGGTAGACCGAAATACTTTTCCCACTTGATTTAAACCAATTTTTTCCGAGTGCACCGGTGAATAGCATAACCAATATTTCACAGATGCTGTTGAAATGGAGCTTGAGTGCTCAAAAGGCATATCATTGTTAAGGATCCCAATGTCTCAAATTGTGACATTGGAGCTACGATGGTTTCAGACTTGTTTTGACCAAATTTTCTACATTCACGTCATTATGTCTCGGATGTATTCGAAAGGATCAATTGTAGGCTATCACGTCTTACAAAAACAGTATGTAGTATGTGTATTAGACGTATTCTTATTAGCATCACATCCTACATAAACACAATTACGTGTTCTACGTTCTTGACAGTTTTACGAAATCAGATTTATGTGTGTTCCTGTTTGTCTAAAGGAATCACTACGATGTACCGGTGTGGAAGATTCTTCTTAGCCTTACTATCTGCTGTTACATTATCATGTATTGAATGTTCTTGTTACATAAAGGATCTGCTGTTACTCTATTAGCCATATTATTATGCTTTATTGTTACATTACCATGCGTTTCTGGAAATCAAGCAACATCTCACTGCGCATCAAGATTCGACTATTTAACTCTAATATCAAGTCTGTGCTCTTCTACGGCTGCGAAACTTGGAAGACAACAAAGACAGTACTGAATAAAGTCCAGACTTTCATCAACAGATGAATGAGGAGTATCCTAAGAATTAAATGGCAGAATAGTATAAGAAAAGAAAAGCTGTGGGAAAGGGCAGGACAAAAGGATACAAAAGAAGAAATAGGACTAAGAAAGTGGCGATGGAAGGGACACACCTTCGGAAAGCCCAGCGGAAACATCACTAGATAGTCGCTGCAGTGGAACCGACAGGGAGCAGGGAGCACCATGCAGGGGTAGGCCGCGGGAAACATTTAGGAGATGTGTGGAAAGGGACGTGAGAGAGATGAAACTCACTAGGAACGGCTTGGAAGCATGGCCCAGGACAGAGATAAATGGAAGGAGCTGGTATGTGGTCTATACCCTGCCAGGGGTGGAAGGCATTGATGACGATGATGACCATGTGTTGGGCGTTCTTGTTAGCAAAATAATTTAAATTTAACTGTTACATGTTTGGTGTTCTTTTTAGCATCAGATCTAAGCTTAACTTCACTAAGTATTGGGTGTTATTATTAGCGTCATGTCTTAGGGAAATTTTAACAAGTATTGAAAGTTCTTTTAAGCATCAAATGTTGCGGAAACGTTATTATGCCCAACGCATTTAATGTTCTTGTTGAATTCTGCCTAAGGTACTGACTTTGTCTGTCTTATTTATGTTAATCCGTTCCTTTATTTTGGGTGTAAGTTTGTGTTAATGGTGTGTGTGGAGGGGGGGGGCGGGTGGTATAGCTGTATGTGTACATTTGTTTGTCGATGCACGTATATACGTATTATTACCGACACACACACACACACACACACACACACACACACACACACACACACACACACACACACACACATATATATATATATATTTATATATATATATATATATATATATTATATATATATATATATATAAATACTAGCTGGGCCCCCTTTTCAATGAAAGGAATGATCGGTGCTTTAATATCAAATAACTGTCATTGGCCTACTATATCAATTTACACTCTACTGGAATGGGGCAATAAATCTTGAGAGATGCAAAAAATTATAAGGTCTAGATCTATACTCTCAAAACAAAATGCGCCTCGCAAAATATCACTTCCGTATTTTCTAAAATTACACAGACAGATCGGCGAAATAAAGAAATATAGCTTTTTGCAGCAAAACTGTCTCAAAAATGAAAAAACAAAGGGCGTCATGCTCTGGAGAATATTTTAAAGAATCTTTTGGCGAAAACCGCATGTCGATTGATGCAGCCATTAAAAAGCCTTTTGAATAACAAAATTCGGCCACCAGAAATAGATAATAGATACACACACACACACACATACGCACACGTTCACACACATACGCACGCACGCACGCACACACATACACACACACGCACACACCAACACACACACACACACACACACACACACACACGCCAACACACACACACACACACACACACACACACACGCACACACACACACACACACACGCGCGCACTTGCGAGAGAGAGAGAGACAGAGAGAGAGGGGGAGGGAGAGAGAGAGAGAGAGAGAGAGAGAGAGAGAGAGAGAGAGAGAGAGAGAGAGAGAGAGAAAGTGAGCGCGTTTGTAAACAGACAGACAGACAGACAGACAGACAGACAGACAGACAGACAGACAGACAGACAGACAGACAGACAGACAGACAAACAGACAGACACACAGACAGACGGACGGACGGTCGGTCGGACGGGCCAATACATCTTCTGGGGAGAATGTTTCTGCAGCGAAATAGAAGAATTTGAAAAATAAAAGGTTAGGACGACTTGTGGCTTCTGCTGTGGCCGATTGGACCACTTCAGGCCGAGAAAAATTATCCACATTTTGAACATTTAAAAGATCCACCCCCACTTGTGGGCTTCTCTGTTGGTTTCAGCATTTCTTATTCACGGAACTCCATGTGATTTGATGCCCCCTGTAAACTTCTGCTCTCCAGCTGGGTTTTGTCAGGAGAAAGACTCTCCCATGTTGAATGATGTACGTTGAAATCCTTCAGACATTTTCAGGTGTCCTTGTGGCCCTTTTTTTGTGCACCAACCTTTCGCTTCCCTGGGGATAATTAAGAATAGAAATCTGGCATTCTTACGACATGGCCAACACATCGAGGTTGAGTCCTTTTGAGCCTAGAAAAAAGACTCTCAGCGTTTGCCCATTTTGAGAATTTCAGTGTCTGGTATTTTATTCTGCCATTTGACGCCAAGAATTCTCCTGAGACATTTGATACAGAAATGGTTCAGTTTTTTGGCATGGCGTTGGTGCACCGTCCGGGTCTCGGCACCATACAGCATGGTTGACTTTCAATTTTGTCACGTGCAAATGTCACAGTAGTTCCAAACCCTTGCTCTGAGTCTTCCAAATGATGCACTAGTTGTATTCATAAGTAAAAGTATTTCTGCATCGGTTCCGGCATTTGAAGATATTGCACTGCCAAAATACTAAAAGCTACCAACATTGTTTTCTGTTGTTCTATTTATTTTGATTTTAGGAGGGAGGGTCTGCCTATCACCTGGGACAGGCTGGAATAAAACTTCTGTCTTTGTTGTCCTTATTGTAAGCCAAAAGTTCTCACATGCATTTGAAAAATGATCACCACAGTTTTGCATGCTGGATTCTTCATGAGGAAGCAAAGCACAATCATCAGCAAATAGCAGTTCACAGGCATGCATCATACTAGTTTTTGCTTTTACCTGCAGCCTGTGAGATTTGAAGACTTTACCATCCAGTTTGTTTGTGATATCAACCCCAGCAGTGTAGCTCTAGAATGCTTCCTTCATCATCGTTGAAAACATGATGCTGTAAAGTGTTGGTGCTAACATACAGCCCTGCTTCACTCTATTCTTTCACAAAAATGCTTCAGACATATCATCATTGCTCAAGACACTGGCTTTCATGCCAATATGAAATTGGCCAACCATAGTAATAAACTTTGGCTGACAACTGTGCTTCGCTTGGATTGTCTATAAGCCTTACCGACTAACAGTATCAATGGCCTTTGTTAGATCAACAAAGGTCATGCATAAGGCTTTATTCTGCTCTATGCACCTTTCCTGGATCTGCCTGACTGCAAAGAGATGTCCACAGTGCCCCTGCTAGTGTGGAAGCCACACTGACTTTCAGGCAAAATTCCATTTGAAGAGAGATGCTTCAATGGGCGATTCAGTAGAATGCGTGCCAGAATCTTGCTAGCTGTAGACAAGAGGGATAAGTCTCTAAACTCTGTGATTGTTACACGATTTCCTGTCACCTTTATTTGCGTACAGACGAATGGTAATTCCATCCCTATACACCTGGAAATTACTTCCACATTCCCATATTCGATAGAATAATTCTGTCAGTGCCTCAACAAGACGGTCTCCTCCAAAAGCGAAGACCTCTGCAGGAATAGCGTCTGCGCTAGGGGCCTTATTGATACTTATAATATGTTTAAGTTATTGTGGTTTTTTCCAACACATTAAGGTCATATAGTAAGTTATTTTCTTATTGACATAAAAATACCACTTTGTAGCTTCAACAAATCTTAAAGCTTAAGTCGCAAAATGTGTGTTGACCAGTGTTAACCATGTGTAAGTGCTGGAGAGTGTGTGCATGCATGTGTGTGTGAGTGTGTGGGAGAGTGTCTATGCGTGGGTATGTGTGTGTGTGTGTGTGTGTGTGTGTGTGTGTGTGTGTGTGTGTGTGTGTGTGTGTGTGTGTGTATGTCTATTGGCAGGAGTTAGTATGTGAATGTGGTGTACTTCTGGTAGGTCCTCCCTTTTTTTCCTTTCGTTCAGACAAATTATATTATTTGATTTCTAAAATCAAATCTGCAGAAACTGACGCTGCTGAAGGAGAAGATATTCGGCAAGAACACTGCAATTCTTGGCCGAGAGCAATACTGTCACATCCTTGATTCCACCGGCATTGACCTTGATGGACGAAAGAAGTGGGAAGAAGTACACTCGTTGGTGACCGAACCAGCAATTCACAAGATCATAAATTTCATCAAGGCCTTGCCAGGGTTTA